TCCACCCTACCCACTTTGATACTTTTGGGTTATCCGATTCTAGATCAACTTTACCCAGTACCGTATCCGGAATCGGTTCCTATATACCGTTCCGGTTTTCGGCCCTACAAAATCCCCTTAACTGGTTCTGGGTTTTCCGGGGTCCAGGTCCATCCGGACCGGGTTTGGACCCGCTTTCATCCCTAACCACAACATTTGCACTAAAATTGTCTAAAACCGTTGGCGCGTAATCCTGTTATCATAAATAAATGAAGATAGTCAACATCCAGTCAAATCATGCATGAAATTGTTGTAATTTGTAGAAAAACACATATTCTACAACTTTTATCACAGGGTTATATGCAAGAAATAGCAACGTATGTTCTTTGATTTGTTTATTATAACATTATGCTTCTATTTTTTACTATCACAACATTTATTCTGAAAATCTACCCAATTATACAAATATCCAAATACAGACCATCTTTCACTATTATAATCTCCTAATAAGAGAAAAATCATAAGTGTTTTTCAAACTGCAACATGTTAATAAGAAATATATGAGAGTACACTATTGTAATATAAAAGAAATGGAAGCGGGATGCTATAATATAAAAAAAATGAAAACAAGTTATTTCTTGCATTTGGCCCATTTTTTCATAGTAATTAACTATATATTATTCTAAAATACAAAGGAATGCTCTGTTACTTTATCCATTTATGTCACTTATCATATTCGGTGTGAAAAGAAAATAAATTTTTGATTCTTGATCTTGTTTGATGCAGGAAAAAATCAAGAAAGAATCCACATGATGATGAAAGAAAGAAAAAGAGGTAACCAAATAGAATGTAAAAAGAAGATACACACATAAGTTTCAATAAAATTCCATATGTTGCCCTTGTTTCCTTCACCACAAAGAAATTTTGTTTATGATGATGGATTTGGGAGGGCCACCAACCAACTATATATACTTTATCTATACACATCATCCTCCACCCACTACCTAACTGGCCACCTCCATCGAGATCTGAAATTTGCAAACATGCATCATCAAACACCATATATAGCAATGTTCTTATATCTGTTTGGGTATTACATCATCCTACTTTCATATATCTCATTTTCCATTAAGCACAAACTTCCATATATTTCTATTTTACTATTGTAGTTTACAAAAGTTTCTTATTCAGGCATTGTACTTAGAAAAATATACCCAATTATAGCATTCTACTTCCAAGGTTTTCTTATTAAGGCATTTTTCTTTGAAAAATCTATCTAATTATAGCACTGTACATCTAGTGTTATCTTATTAAGGCATTGCATTAAAAAATCTACACAATTATGGTATTATACTTTTATTTTTAATTTTCTTATTAAGGCCTACTTTAAAATTTTCATCTAGTTATAGCATTGTAATTCAATCTTTTTGCTAATTAAGGCGTTTTACTTTGAAAGTTCTACCCAATCATAACATTGTGTTTTCGATGTTTCTTATCAAGGCGTTGTACTCTGAAAGATTTACCCATTTATAGCATTGTACTTTCCATTTTTTCTTAACAAGGAGATGTTTTTAAAACAATCTAGCCAATATAGCATTGTACTTTCAAAGTTTTCTTGCTAAGGCATCATAGTGGTAACAAAAGAATTAGGGCACAAACTACTTGATTATAGCTGAAATATTACAAACTAACTACCATTCGAGAGGACAGACTCTCCCCTATTAATACTATTGCAACACACAAGGAACAAAAAATGACAGAAATACCCTTAGGCCTGTTAACACTTATTCTATATTCAGGAATTAGGGCACTGAGAGTCATAAAGTTGTCGACTTTCATCAAAGACTAGATCCATAACATATAATACTCTTAGGATCCAGGAGAGTCATAAAGCTGTCGACTTTATGAGCCCATTCATTCCAAACTTGCTCAAACATGAGGAATATGGGATAATATTCAAGATCTAACAACTAAATGACATAAAGCAAGGAACTTGGACACTTATAAAGGTCTAGAGATAATATGAGGTGATGATTATGTTGACTCCTTGCAAGCTCCACTAAAAGGTCACCTTCTTCTTCCTATTATCTTCTTCTTCAAGCCAAGAAAGCTCCAAAAAGACAGAATCAAGCAATGGATGAAGGCTAGGGTTTTTATAAGGTGAAAGGGGGCTTGGAGGCTGACAATGAACCCTAAAATAGGTTTAGAGGGGTTTAAATACGAAGGGAACCCTAAAAGAGTCATGGGCTTAGGCTTGAACAGTTGTCATGCCGTGGTGGTCCATAAATACGCAATCAGACAATTATTGCCATGTCGTGGCCTCCTTGGCCACGTCGTGGCACAGAGTTTCCTCCAAAAACTCCCTCTTCGTCTTTGATACAAGTAAGCTTAACCAATCCGGAGCACGGGTGTTACAGTATGACTCATGAATATTATCACAACTTTTATGTTCCAAACTCTAAGGTAAATAACCAAATTACCTCTATTGTTTTTAAGGATATTTAGACATTTGACCAATAGTCAAACATTGCAATTTCATGAGACATATATATATGAAATGAGCATAAAATATGACATCACCTGCTGTTTTTTGAACCTACCTGGCCTAGGGTGGATCCTATCTTCTACGATAAAATAAGTGTTAAGGTCATAACAAAAAGATCAAGGTACACCCACTGACCCATAACTTTATTCTACTAAGTACTAATCCTTAAATCATAAATAGCTGGAAATGGGTTGATCAAACAAAGAAATTTCTAGGCTTTGGTCCTGTTGTAGACTAGCAAGTTTGGGGGCCTATCAACAACGTTAGCCTAAAATTTTACCTTATCCTTAAGATTAAAATCTAGGTAAAGCTGGTTAAGTTTGTTGAATTCTTCCCACGTAGCCTCCGAATATGTCAACACCTGCTATAGAACCAAGACTTCCTTCTCATCAGGCCTTCCTCCTTGTTTTGGTCTAACCCCACGAATGTCCTCAAGTTCTACTACTAGTTCAAGATATGTATTGAGTTGGGTTGGTAGTTAAGTAGGGTATGAGGAACCCTATAGGATGCTCTTAATTGTGAAACATGAAAAACGGGGTGTATTGATGCCTCCGGGGGTACTTCCATTTTGTAAGCTACCTTCCCAATTCTCTAACTGATTTTATAAGGACCATAAAAGTGTGCTGCTAACTTCTCGACCATTTATAGCATTGTACTTTCCATTTTTTCTTATCAAGGTATTGTTTTGAAAAGGTCTACCTAATATAGCATTGTACTTACAATGTTTTCTTACTAAGGCATCGTAGTTTAAAAGATCCATCCAGTATAGTATTGCACTTTGAAAATTTCTTATTAAGGCATTGTACTTTGAAAATCTAATAAATGCAAATATAGCATTGTACTTTCCTGTTTTTCTTATTTAACCTAGTATATAAATAAATGCAAATTTTTATTTCTAGCATTTAACCTAGTATATAGACCAACCATCTATTTTTTATAAGTCTACCCAATAATGAGGATCTATATTTTTCTTATTTCTGGTCCCATTGAGAAAGCATAAGTTAGTAACTTACTTTTCAAACAACAAAGTAAGACATTTACAACCAATTATCATGTCCCTTGAGATTCCCACGAACTGCAAGATGAGAAGATATCCACATCATGAGTAAAAATAGGTTCTATCGAATCAAAGAAAACTTATTTAAATTGAATGAAGAAACTCTTTATGATGTGTTTGTTGGTAGGCAGACCAAAAGAAGAAAGTAAATATACAAAGAAGGAATGAAAATTCACACATAAGAACTTAAGCTTGAAGGGACACATAAATGATTAATCCAACATATTAGTCCTTACATCAGGAATAGTTTCTCATAAAGGAATAATTAGCCTTTGTGACTATATTATACACAAACTACCTAACAAACTTCAATTCCACTTCTTTTAACCAATTCTGTGAGGTATATCCTAAGTTTGCATATCAACCTAACCATACGCAAGCATAAACGGAAATTATAGTATTTCAAAGAAGCAAAAACGATTATACACAAACTACCTCTTGATATTTAGAGGAGTTGAACCGATTACTAATAAAAGCCAAAAAGGAATATTGAACAGCTCAATTTCATCATGTTCATTCATAACATCGAATAGAGTGATTTATTCTATAAACTTCTTAGCATATTGAACTACAAAAGCATTGAATTATGCTAAAACTTACCAAAGAAAACGAAAACCATACCAAAAAAAAAAGACGTTGCAATCCGATCAGGTGAACTCTAGGCTCCGCGTAACTTAACTTTCACGGTAACATCAGTAGTTTACAGATTTACTTTGTTTGCTTAGTAACTTGACTAATTTCAGTTTTGGGCTTTTAACGTCTTATATGGTTATACGTATTTAAATGTTTTAAAATACCGATAAAAATAAAAATTAAAAATAAAAAAAATAAAAATAAAAAATTAGGGATGAGCATATGGACCGGGGAACCGGCAAGAACCGGTACCGGAACCGGCACCGAAACCGGAACCCGATGGAACCGGTTGGGCCGGGACCGGGACGTTATTTTTGTGGATTTTTGAAACCGGGAACCGGTAGAACCGACAAAAACCGGAACCGTATGATGCTATTTTTCGAGGACCGGTTCCAACATTTGAAGACACGACAAGAACCGGTAGGAACCGGGAACCGGTAGAACCGCCGGACCGGTTCGGTTCTTGATTTTGACCGAAGCCGGTTCCCGGGTAGGGGCCGGTTCCGGCCGGTTCGGTCCTTTTTGCTCATCCCTATAAAAAATTATCTTATATAAATTTTTTACTTTGTTCAGCCGCAATAGAATACCCTAATCCTACTATCCGTATTTTATACCCCGTATTACATTAGTTTTTTTTTTTTTTTTTTTTTTTTTTTTTTTTTTTGGTAGCGACGATTAACCAAAATTCGAGTCTAAATATTTGACAGCCACACACCACATAATTGGAATCATCCAAAAACAACTTCGTTATAGCTACTACCGATCTGCAGGAGCGGAAGAAACAAGATGGCATATGCAGATGTGCAGATGTTCATGAAAAAGTTGAAGCAGCTCATATACTCCAACGATATCCCAATCATCAAAATACCATCAATTGTACGCGAAGGGCCTCAATTCCAAATGCTTTATGAAGAGCTTGGCTCCATGATCCAAACCCTTTTCATCCACCAAGACCATGGCCTAGAAAACTTTGAAAAAGTCACAAATCTGAGGAAAAGATTCAAAGCTGTAGCAGAAGAGGCAGAAGATATCGTCGATCTCTTTCTATCCACTGTCCACTTTGGAAACTACGGCTATTTCCCTAGATCTGATGTCGTTCACCCGTCCCTGAACCTTGAAGCTGTTATGAGATCAATCGATTCTATCAAGATGGAATTCATGACTATGAGCATCGATAACATGAAGATGGACGCTTCTCAAAGACCTGGCACACTGCAAATGCAATCTGCTGGAACTTCCCGCACTAAAAATTCACTCCGGTCGAAGAAAGTATTGGAAGAAATCGTTGTGGGGATTGATCGTGATGCTGAGATAATACGGGACAAGCTTGCTGAAGATGGAAAGCATCTGGATGTGGTCTCTATTGTTGGTATGGGTGGAATTGGTAAGTCAACCCTTGCTAACAAAGTCTTCTCTGATCCTTTTGTTGTTTATCATTTTCATATCCGTAGATGGGTCACTGTTTCCCAAACATATGACAAGCGGGATCTGTTGATTCAAGTTCTGTCATCCATAGATGATCAGTTAGAGCTTGAGAAAGCAACGGACTCTCAACTTCATGAAATGCTGCACAGGAGCCTATACTGTAAGAGATATTTGATTGTCATTGATGATATCTGGAGTACAGAGGCATGGGATAAGTTGAAATTGTTTTTCCCTGATCATAACACTGGAAGTCGAATTCTTCTTACTAGTCGCCTCACTGAAGTCGCTGCACATGCAAAATCACATGGACTCATTCATCATTTACAACATTTGACAGAAGAAGAAAGTTGGGAGTTGCTGTGTGGGAAGGTGTTCCAAGGAGATGAATGTCCTGAATGGTTGATTGAACCTGGAATGCAAATTGCAAAAAACTGTCATGGATTGCCGCTTTCTGTGGTTGTGATGGCAGGAGTTCTTGTAAAAGAAGCAAGGAATAAAGATCTGTGGGTAAAAATTTCTTGCAGTGTCCATTCATACATTGCTAGCGATGAGAAAGGATGTCTGGAAACAATAGCATTAAGTTACCACCATCTACCTCTTCACTTGAGAGACTGCTTTCTCTGTCTGGGAGGGTTTCCAGAAGACTTCCGGTTCTATCCACCATTGTTGCTTTGGTTATGGATGGCTGAGGGATTTATACAAGAAGATAGAAGTCGAAGCTTGGAGACAATTGCTAATGGTTACCTGGTGGATCTTGTTGACAGAAATCTTCTTATAGTAGCGAAATGGAATCTTATCGGTGATGTCCTTTGTTGTAAAGTCCATGATCTTGTGAGGCAGGTATGTGTGGAAAAAGGAAAAGAAGAAAGATTCTTCTTGAAAATAGACTCACCACCATCTAATCGTCTCTATGAGGTAATGACCACACATAAGCAACGTCGTGTGATCATAAATCAAGAAATCGACATTATGAGTTTGCCTAGTCCGCTCACCCCAAGTATTCGATCGCTTTTGTGCAATCATGTGGACACAACCTTAACTGACAATATCTCAAAGTTTTTCTATTCCTTTGCACTTCTTAGGGTGTTAGATCTAGAAAAATGTGAAACGATTGATTTTTCCCCCTATTTAGCATTACTAGTTCACTTAAGGCACCTTGACATTTGGCTGTCATCATTACCACCATCAATATGCAATTTATGGAACCTTCAAACCCTCATTGTTAGAACAAGTTCTAGTTCTATGGTTTTACCTAGTAACATATCAAATTTGGTGAATCTGAGGCATTTAACCTGTATCGCAGAACTTTATCTTCCTTCTATTGAAAAACCGATGAAATTGGAAGTTATTACGGATGTGGTGTTGGGAGATGGGGTAGATAATTTTCAGAAATGTTTTCCCAGGATCAAGGAACTTGCAACTACTCTTTACTCTGACGAGGAAAATGATTTTGAAGTACTCCATCACCTTCAAATCTTGATATTAATTGGGTCGGGCTACAGCAGAAGGAGATCAGTTGAGCGAGAACTTCTCAGAGGTGAACCAAACTTGGGAAAGAATCACATTATTAGGTTCCCTGCAACACTGAAACAACTTACACTTGAAAGGTGTGGTCTACGGTGGAGCGACATGTTGATCCTTCAATCGTTGCCTAATCTTGAGGGTCTTGCAATAAAAGACAATGGATTTGAGGGAACCATGTGGGAAACAGGTGATGAGCAGTTTCAACGACTAAAATTCTTGAGACTTAAAAAGTTAAATATCAAACAATGGAAAGCCTCAAGTATCAACTTTCCATGTCTCGAACGATTAGAGGTGCTGAATTGCATTGATCTTGAAGAGATACCCCTTGAATTAGGGGACATCTCAACGCTTGAGTATATTTGTGTTAAGAATTGTGATGCTTCTCTTCTCGAATCCCTTCAAAAAATACGACAGGAGCAAGATGATGTGGGGAACTATGAACTAAAGATCAAAGTTGATGGAAGGTATATGCCTTCTTATGTACCACAGCATGACGATTAATACATTTTACATGTGGAGTAGGCAACTGACAGCATGAATGTTTAGTACATAATTAGTTAGTGTATTTGCTACCTAGTACAATTTCTGTTGATTTTCTTTACCCAAAATTTGTTATTGTTCAATTTGATATTTTCTCTTTTTTTTTTGTCGGCCACGTTAATATTAAGAAAACTAGCAAACAGCTAGATAATTACATAGCAAGAGTTTAAAAGGAATGATTTTTCACCCAATCTACCCACTTAACATAAAACTTTGGATTCCTAGCACTAATCCAACAAAAAAAATGAACATGATTGAATTGAATCGCGCCTTGAAGGGTTTGTGATGGCTAAATAATAATCTATTTCGAAAAGACCAAATCAACCAGAACATAGTCAAGCAAGCTGCATCCAAACATTTCCTTGCTTTGGCATCCGAGCATGATCAGCCCAAGACAACCACTCTGATATAGACGAGAAAACAGACGAGAAAACAGGTAAATCCAATTCCCACCATCTCGCAAAAGGGCCCGCAAATGTGATGCCATGCTACATGGAAAGAAAAGGAAAAGAAAATGTGACTAACTGTCTCAATATCAAGATCATATATAGGGAAAATGAGCGGACCAATATCAATCCCTTTCCTATCCAGATTCACTTTAGAAGGGATTTTATTCAAAGTCAACCGCCAAAAAAACACATTAACCTTGGATGGTACAAAGCGATTCCACCTAGGAACTGTGGCAACCTCAAATATTTTGGAATCAATAAGAGATCTCGCCGAAGCCACAATAAAACCCGAAGATACGTCTATAGACCAAACCCAAGTATCCTGTTGAGAAGTGAAGAGCCTCCACACCTCCTCTCGAAGGTCTTTGAAAAGCCGAGAGCCAATCCAAACACTACAACCGGTTTGAAACTGAAACATCCTAAAAACCCAAGCTAAATAATTCATTTTTAAAATAACATAACATCCATTTTCGATAAAGTTACATTCAGGATAAATCAATTGTACATAAACCATTATTCAGAAATCAGAGTTATAATGAAGACAGTGTGGAATCTCGAATCATAAAGTTGTTGATGTGTGTGTACAGTCACGACTTCGCAATCTGAAAAAGTACTTGAAAAATATTTAATTCACAACTGTAAGCACAAAGTTTAGTGAGTTCCTCAAATATCTCATACATCACATCATATAACAACAACCTTGAAACTATCAACAATTCTGAATATCACATACAGCATGCAATATAACAACTACGGATTTTCAGCAACCATGAGGACTATTAGCTGTCCCAGTAGGCTAACAGCATGCTCTGTGGATTAACAGCACACCGTACGGGTTATCAGCAACCCTGGGGACTATCTGCAGTTTCATGGACTTATGGCAGTCCAAAATTTATGAGCAACTCAATTCACATGCAACAATAATCAACAGATAAGACCCAGTTGGTCAACATATACTACAACACAGGTATAGTGAGAGGGCTCAACTCGCATTTAACAACTAAACACCAAACTCTCACCTAGCAAAGACTGATCCTACACGACACCTAACAACAATAAAGAGTACCATCTCGGTCTACACCCCAAAACCCTTAATTTGACCAAAAGTCAACCTTGATCAAAAAGTCAATGGTTAAAGTCAAAGTTAACGTTGCCTTCAGCACGTCGTGGTCCTACTACGATTGAACAGACCGGCATTTCCCAGTCACCACGTCGTGGCTAATCTACACCATCATCACCAGATCATTGTTGCTAATCTGGACCATCGCCGCCGTCGCATACATAACAACAATCAGAATCACTTTTTTCTTTCTTCTCATATGAATTTGTTTCTTTCTCATATGGATTTGTAGTTTATTTTTGGTTAGGATTTATGAATTTGATTTTTGGTTTGAAAGAATTTCTGGTTTTAGTGGGTTTGGTGGGATTTTTTTTTTTGTGGCAGAGGTGCGGTGTTTTTTCCGGTGGAAAAGGTGGTGATGATTTTCATATAACCTCATAATCTCATATGCTTATTATCTTGAACAAGTTGTAACATGATTTGGCAAAATAGTTCCTCTCGTTCTCACTTAAAATGCTCTCTTGTAGTCCAATTCATATGTATAATTCACTTTGTATGAACCTCTTTGATTAGGAACACTTTTAGATGCCATGATTTTTAAAAGTGTTATGAAATAATTAAGTTAATAATGTATTATAAAGCCACCTAAATAATAGAAAAAGGCAACAAATAAACACCTAAACGTAAAAATATATTCCAGGCCATCCTATCAACGATAGTTACTCCGACAAATAGAGCACCCAATGAACCAAATGTTGGAAGTCTGGAAGAGACAAGGGGTGGGTGTGTAGTTATTAGTTTAATCATAAATAAATAAATTACAATAATTAAAAAAATACATAAATAAAGAAGGGCAAAATAGTCTTTTTATGTCTGGCAGGGACTACAGACGTAGCAAAAACAAATAATAGGGACAGTCCGAGTTAAAAAAAAATAAGTTAGGGACCAAACACGTAAATTATACTAAACCATAGGGACTATTCGTGTAATTTACTCTAAACAAATTAATGAAAGTAAATTGTTCTTTCTTATATTCAACACTTAATTGTTTGTAGAGTTTATTTATGTATTAGATACCAAAAACCAACATTTAAACCTAGAAAGGGCTAATGCAAGAAATAGTAAAGTTTCTTTTTCTTTTTTTCATTTATTTGAGTGATATAGATTTTTACTTTTATTTCTTTCTATTACAATATTGTACTTTCAATTTTTTTTCTTATTAAGGCATTACAATTTGAAATAGTGATGATTCTACCCAATTATTGCATTGTATTTATTTTTTCTTGTTAAGATATATATTTTGAAATATCCACCCAATCATAGCAGTGAATATTGTTTTGTGTTTGCATAATAATGATGTAATATGATGAGATGCAAGTAAGACGCTACAGTAAACAAATCAATGAAAATATACGATTATTTCTTGCATTTAACCCTAAAATTGTTAGTAGGATTTATTTGTGTATTAAATGCAAGAAATAGCATTTAAACCTAAAATGGATCAATACATGAAATAGTCGTTTTTTATTCATTTATTTGTGTGTAATATAATAGCATCCTGCTTTTATTTTATTTTTTCTATTAAAACATTATACTTTAAAAAAATTATTAAGGCAATATATTTTAAATATTCTACCCAATTATAGATTGTACTCTTAGTTTTTTTTTTTTTTTTTCTAATCATAATCTTATATTTTGAAAAATCTACCCAATTATAGGAGTGAAATTCGTTTGTATTTGGAGGACATTGCTATAATGGATGTATATTTTTTTAAAGTAGAATGTTGAAATAGGAAGAAATAAAGGTAAAAATTAATAATTAACAAATTAATGAACTTACATTGCTATTTCTTGCATTCAACAAAGAGATTTTTAGATTTTTAGTAGAGGTTGTTTGTGTTTTAAATGCAACAAATAGCATTTTACCCTTAAAGTGGCTAAATGCAAGACATAGTAATGTGTTTTCATTAATTTGTCTATTATAAGTTATAACATCCTACTTTCATTTATTTTACTTCCAATTTTTGCCTTACCAAGGCATTGTAGTTTAGAATATCTATCCAATTATATTATTGTACCACAATTTTTTTTCTTATCAAGACATTTTACTTTGGAAAATCTACTCGATTATAGCATTTAAAATTGTTTTGTATTTGGACAACATTGCTTTAATTCGAGTAGCTTTTTCAAAATACACTATCCTAATAGGAAGAAATGAGAGTAGGATGCTATAATAAACCAACCAATGAAAGTACAATGCTATCCTATTTGGCAAAAATCCTCCATGATTTTATTGCAAAAATAAAGGTGCTAAAATTACAAACATTCCAGGTTTCTTAAAGATACAGTAGGAATCATGGTTTATTTTCCAAATAGAATTATGCCTGATTTTTTACACAATTCTAACACAAACAACCCATCTTTTATAGCTCATCTCTCAAAGGATCTTTCCCATTTTTACCCTCAACAAAAGATGCAAAAGCTTTGAGAATCGACTCATACACCTCAATCCCTTTCAAGTATTCTTCTTTGTTCAAAAACTACAACAAAAAACACAAATTAATACGATTAGTGATGCCCAAAATTGTCCAAAAAAAATTTGTTCAAAAGTTTCACCTCATTATGGTCATGAAGAAGGATAGGAGTGTTTGCCATGGGAGAAAATCCAATTGCAGGAACACCCTTCATCCTGAAGTATCGAGCATCGGTTGAAGCTGGAAATATCTCTGGTTTTCCAATTTTGCCCTTGGCTTTAACTATAGCTTCTTCAATTAGAGACCACCATGGATTTGAACTATCATAGGCTGTCAAAATTGGCTTCCCATTTGCATCATACACAGAAACCTTCTGCTTATACTGTTTAAGATGATAAATAGTTAAAAGGACTAAATGCAATAAATCTGATGAATTATAGCTTTGTACTTTGAACTTTTTCCTTATATGGACATTGTATTGGAAATATCTACCCAATTATAGCGAATTACTTAGCCTTTTCATAACATTGCTATAATCAGGAAGATTTTACAAAATACAATGTTAGAAATAGACTAGGAAGATATAGAAAAAAAAAGGATGCTATAAATATAAATCAATGAAAAGAGTCAATCTTTATAAAAAATTCAAAGGAGATGCAAATATGGAAAGCATAAAAGATAAAAATAGAAACAAGGGTTTATTTCTTACCTCAAATGTCATGTTACGTGAAGCTGGGGCCCATTCTTCTGCAATTCGTCTCTCCAACGATGCCTGATCAGCAATTGGTGGCACCCGAATATCAAAACCAGCATGTGCTTCCGATGGCTGCAGATTCATCACAAAACCCTAATCCACAAAACAATTCAATTAGATTTCTTACAATCGAGAGAGAAAGAAAGATATGGAATCATGGATTTAGATTTTATACATACAGTAGGAGATGGGGTTCCGGCTTTAAGAAACACCATGTTCACAGAGACAACCTCGCCTTCCTCCTTGAGGCCAGCCTTCACCATATCAAGCTGAGATGCTCTGAATCTCCTCACACTCTCGATACTCTTCAACAAATTCTCCATCGCTGTGTTATCATACAGCTTAGCCCCATGCCCAGGAGCTCCGGTAGCTTTTATCACCAACCACATCGGACACCTCTCTGCATAGAACAGCCTATAATAATCCTCCGGTGACGCCAATCCTTCATCCAACACAATCCCAACGTTCATCTCATCAAAAATTTCCGAATTGGCAAACTTCTCGGCCCCATCGTGTCCACCGATTTCCTCATCGGGAACAAACACGACATAGATTGTCCTCAATGGCTCGAATTTCGATTCCTTGAGCTTCCGAATCGCTTCCAGATACTGCAACCCGACGCACTTCATATCCTGTGAGCCTCTAGCGTAGATGTTTCCGTTCTCATGATCGATTGCAGCATCGAATGGAGGGTGGGACCATTTGTGGGGTTCGACGGGGACAACATCGGTGTGGGAGTTGAGGAGAATGGAAGGGAGATCGGGGTTTTTGCCAGTCCATTTTAGAAGGATTAAAGGCTTGTTTTTGACGAATTCTATGGTGCGGGATTCGAGGGAGAGGGATTTAGCTTGGGAGAGAATGAAATCGGCGGCTTTGTGGTAGTTGGGTGATGGGTGAGCTGTGTCGATTTGAAGGTACTGTTGGAATCTTGAGAGGATTGAATCTCCGGCGATGGTGGATGGTTGTTGTATCAGGAGAGCAACGGAGATGAAGTAAAAGAGACGATGGAACTGGAATCCACTGAAGCTCATCATGATTTTGACTCCTGGTTCTCATTTGGTAAAAGACTAAAATCTATAAAAAGACGATTAGAGAACTAGGTTCCGGGTCTGATTTTGTTTTGGGCATCAAATCTTATGGCACTAGGATTCAAATGCCTAAGACGAAGCGGATAAAAAAAAGACCATTACGCCTTAACGTGTAACGAACTAAATTACATAAACTAAGAACCATCAACATCAGCAATAGAGTAATATTTCACTAAACCAAGAAATCAGATTCTGATTTTTGATTTCTGATACAATTTTATAGTTAAAATCAGCAATCTATTTCACTATTTCAGAATTCAGTTACTACCATAATTCAATTTCTAATAGAGTAATAATAATAATCTATTTCAATTTCAATTTCTAATAATAATAATAATCTATTTCAATAATAATAATAATCTATTTCAATTTCTAATAGTAATAATCTCAGCAATTCAACAACTGATTAATGATTACTGATAAGATTTCATATTTTCATTCATTCAACATTCTATTAAACTAATTTCTATAATGATAACAATTTATTATATGAATCATTCAAGTATGCAATTGACATTTATGAACTGATAATCCTCAATTTCTCATAAATCATAATCTATTAGACTATTATGGTATTACCTGATTAGCAGGAGATAAGATAATCGACCCTTGCTCTCTTGCTGAATGATGAGTTGATGACTCGATGTGGCTGAGTTGCTATCAGCCTGTCACTAACCTCTCCTGCTGGCGATCCTTTTTTTTAGCGACGAACGCGATGCTTCTGGCTTATGTTCGTCATATGTCGATATTCGATGCACCTTGTGCCTTCTCCCCTACGCGATGACAGATGATCATGGACTGGTTTGCATTTGGATTGCTGGATTGGGCTGGAGATGTATATGCTATTTTAAAAAAATGGGCCCTTAAAATTGTGGGCCCAGTTCCAATGCCCACTTTGCCCTTGGTCTAAACCGGGCCTGGCACCCACTATCATATATATTTTCTCTTGGATTAATCACAAAAAAATTTATAATTAAGGGGTGTTTGTTTTATCTTTTAAAACATTTTTAGCTTTTAGGAAAAGATAAAAAGCTAAAAGATGTTAGGTAAAAGCAACAGATCTTGTAAAAGCTACTTTTAGATATAAGGAAAATGAACTTTTTGGAAAAGATCTTGTAAAAACTACTTTTGGATATAAGGAAAATGAAGTTTTTGGAAAAGTCAGGCAAACCTGACTTTTTTCAATTTTTCCTAAAATGATTTTTGTCCTCTCAAAAGCTAAGCCAAACACCCCCTAAATTTATATTTTCTTTGGGATATTAAAATTTGAAAAAATTTCTTAATCATTTCTCATATATTAGTCAAAAATTAAAAAATTTCCACTTCTAACATCACAGATGAGGCAAACACATTTGCGGTTTAATGGGAAATTTGTCTTCTAAGTTCTACCATCAGAAGTAATTTCTAAAACTTGAATGTGAAAATGAAGTTAAAATCTTTTTAGGGTTTAAATATATTAGGCTTATGGGCCATGAAACAGCAGGCGGGCCATTCACTGCAATCACACGCAAGTCCTACTCATATGCAATTTATTCACTGAGATCGCACGCGAGTCCTACTCATATGCAGTTTCGCCAGTTAAAATTGAAATTTTCTTAATTTTTGGCTTGTAGAAAATGTTTAAGAAAAATGGCTAGATTTGTCATTTTCTCTTAAAATTATCACTAATCTTAGCTAAAATTCATAATGTACATGACTTAACAGTTAAAAGTAAGCTTTTGGATTCCTTTATTAAATATTACATGCACTAGAGGATTTAGTTGTCTACAAATCTACATCCTTTTTTATAGCTCAACTTTGACATCATCTTCCTCCTTTTTAGACTCCATGGAAGATGCAAAAGCTTTGAGTATCGACTCATACACATCAATCCCTTTCAAGTATTCTTCCTTGTTCAAAAACTAACACAAAAAACAACACAAATTCATATGATATTATCTATTAGTGATGCTTAAAAACTGTCCAACAGATTGTAAAAAAGGGTACACCACCTCATTATGATCATGGAGAAGGATAGGAGTGTTTGCCATGGGAGAAAATCCAATTGCAGGAATACCCTTCATCCTAAAGTATCGAGCATCGGTTGAAGCAGGAAATATCTCTGGTTTTCCTATTTTACCCTTGGCTTTAATTATAGCTTCTTCAATTAGAGACCACCATGGATTTGAACTGTCATAGGCTGTCAAAATTAGCTTCCCAGAATCCTTCTGCTTAAACTGCCGAATCTGATAAATAACTAAAAGGACTTAATGTAGGAAAGAGCAATGAACTTTTATAGCATCCTGTTTTATTTCTTTGTATCACAATTCACAACATTGCACTGCTCTTTTTTTATTACGAAAATATAGTTTAAAAAAAAAACGATAACCACACAAAAAATGTTCATAATTAATTTAACGAACGTTTTGGAAAGCCATTTAAAATAAGAAATAAAAACAAGGGTTTATTTCTGACCTCAAATGTCATGTTTCGTGAAACTGGGGCCCACTCTTCTGCAATTCGTCTCTCCAACGATGCCTGATCGTGATCGGCAATTGGTGGCACTCGAATATCAAAACCAGCCTGCGCTTCCGATGGCTGCACATTCATCACAAAACCCTAATCCACAAAACAATTTCATTAGATTTCTTACAATCACGACAAACAGAGATGGATTAATCATGGAGTTATAGGATCAGACATACAGTAGGAGAAGGAGTTCCAGCTTTGAGGAAGACCATGTTTACAGAGATGACCTCACCTTCAGCCTTCACACCCGCCTTCACCAAATCAAACTGAGATGCTCTGAACCTCCTCACACTCTCGATACTCTTCAACAAATTCTCCATCGCCGTGTTATCATACATCTTAGCACCATGCCCAGGGGCTCCGGTAGCTTTTATTACCAACGACATAGCACGTCTCTCCGCATAAAACAACCTGTATTTATCCTCCGGCGACGCCAATCCTTCATCCAACACAATCCCGACATTCATCTCATCAAACATCTTCGAATTCGCAAACCTCTTCGCCCCATCGAGTCCACCGATTTCCTCATCGGGAACAAACGAGACATAGATTGTCCTCAATGGCTCGAATTTCGAATCCTTGAGCTTCCGAATTGCTTCTAGATACTGCAACCCGACGCACTTCATATCCTGTGAGCCTCTAGCGTAGATGTTTCCATTTTCAGGGTCGATTGCGGCGTCGAAGGGAGGGTGGGACCATTTGTGGGGTTCGACGGGGACGACGTCGGTGTGGGAGTTGAGGAGAATGGAAGGGAGGTCGGGGTTTTTGCCAGTCCATTTTAGAAGGACTAAAGGTTTGTTTTTGACGAATTCAATGGTGCGGGATTCGAGGGAGAGGGATTTAGCTTGGGAGAGGATGAAATCTGCAGCTTGATGGTAGTTGGGTGATGGGTGAGATGTATTGATTTGAAGATATTGTTGGAATCTGGAGAGGATTGAATCTCCGGCGATGGCGGATGGTGGTTGTAACAGAAGTGCGATGGAGATGATGTAATAGAGACGATGGAATCCATTGAAGCTCATCGTCATCGTGATGTCTGGTTTTCATTTCGGGATTCTATAGTTTTACAGAACTACCTAATATCTGAATTTGCATCCAATCACTTGTTTTCTTGCTTCTGTGAGTCAACATTAAGAAATAAATTATACTCCAAGTAGAAAAAGTTAAAGATATCAGTAGCAGGACTTCGTCTAAGTCGCATGTAAGCCAAGTAGGTAATTGACGACCATAAGAGTTTATTGATTCAAATAAACTAAGAGTTAATGCACTTCATGACAAGAGAATACAAGATGGTATGAAAAACAAGAGCAATTCCAAAGACCATACATTTGTTATGGGAAAAAGAGATTGTGTTCGATTATATGCAAAAAATAATGAAGTAAGAACATAATCATGTTAATATGAATCTGAAATTTGAATTTTATCATTTTTTTTTTATTTTTTTGAACGGAAAGCTGGCATTAAAAGAAAACTAGCCAGAGGCTAGAAGGTATAAAGTTTGAAAGGAAACAAGATGAAAATCAAAACAAAACACACAGAACAGAAAAAAGACTACAAGTCTAGAGTAACATTCAAGAACAGGATCACTAACCTATCTCAGGGGTTCACCCTTCCGCTTCCTCGCATTAATCCAGAATACAGACATAGATTGTACCTCATAGGCCAGCACCGAGTGAGATTTGACACCCGAGGAATGTGCCTTCAAGTTCCGAAAGTTCCAAACCACTAATAAAAACACTAGCATAACCACTTCGTGAATGTTTGATAGCCTTTTGTGACCCTTCTAACATTTTTTCAATTTAGAAGATCCCCGATCGCATGAACATTAGAGTCCAGCAATCGCCACCAACTAGATACTCTCTGCCATTGTGTATATCATGAAGATTGGCGATAAAGAATGTTAATCTAATTGAGTTAGTGTAACATTTACTTATGGGTAAATTACACCGATTGTCCTTTGTGCATGTATCAAAACGTACGTTTAGTCCATATTTTAGAAAATTAATTCGAACTGTCCATGTGTGTTTTTCCTTGCATGTTTAGTCCCTCTGCACATAAAAAGACCATTTTGCCCTTATTTATTTATTTATTTTCTATTTACTTGTTATTTATTAATTATGTATTGATTTGTTTATAACTTATCAATTATTTTTTATTGACTATAATTTTTAAAAAAAGAAACAACCCTTAAATTGGTTCCAACCCTTTTGGCCATCAACCACCGACAACTACAGCCACTTCCGGTTACCAGCCACCATCCACTTCTGGTCACCGGTCACCTCCGACCACCATCCATCAACACCGAAAACTACAACTTCTCTTCATATCTCTCTCTCTCTCTCTCTCTCTCTCACACACACAAACCTCTCTCTCTCTCTCTCTCTCTTACATATCCCTTCTTTAAAATCTGGTACCTCAAACTTACACCTCATGAACCACCACCAATCGACTACCACTAGAAATGACTATCCACCGCCACTTAACCAAACCAAACCTGAAACCCTAGGCGGCAAAGTTAAAGAACCCTCAGAAGGTGGCAACGTTCCAACCCTGAGATGTGTAGATCTGAGACGTGTAGATCTGAGATGTTGCAGATCTGAGACGACGAACATTTGCAGGTGCGTCGACAGTCACGAAGATGAAGGCGATGGCGATGGAGACAACAATGGTGTAGAAACTTAGGCAACGTTCGAAACGGTGCTCATCGATCAGAGGAGTATTCAGATCTGTGAGATTTGATGAACTACACCTCCGTCTCCAAATTAACGAGTCCAACGAACCACCACTACATGATTTGCAAGCTCCAACGAACCAGCACCTTAATGAACCCTCAGATCGGAGAAGAATGAGGGAGACAGAGAGGATGTGGGATTTGGTCTATCCGACAATGTTTCTCAAAGTGGAACTCAAATCAAGGAAAATGAAGGTGGTAGACTTTGTTTCTGAAAAAAAAGAAGCAACGATCAACGGTGTCCGACGATGGTGGTCCGGGAATGGTGGTGTCCCTTATGCTTTCTTGAGCTCATAGAGAAAAAAAAAATGAAATTAATTATTATTATTATTATTATTATTATTATAACATAAAATAAGTTATAATTAAAAGTAAAAGTAAAACAATGGAGAGATATGATCAGTTTCCACAGTTTGATCGATGTCACTGTGATTGGTAGAGCTATGCTCAGTTTCCACTTCATGCATGTGTTGAGCCTTGTTGTCATGCGAAAAATCAGGATCATCACTTAACGGAGTGTTTTGATTTTCGACTGAGTCTAACTCACGTTCTTCATCATTGGGAACCACATAAGGCACGGTTTCATCAAAACAATCACCTCGACTTGCCTCGCTTTCAGTTTCGGTGAAAGGGAATTTTGTTTCATGAAATCTCATGTCTCTAGATATCGTCATCCTTCTCTTCTTAATGTCATATATTTTATAACCCTTTGTACCCGTTGGACAGCCCAAGAAAATCCCCGGTCTCCCCCTCATTTCAAACTTGTCATCTTTGGTTTTTGTGCTTATGTAGTAAGCTAGACAACTGAAAACCTTCATGAATTCGTAGTCGGGTTTTTGACCAAAAACGATTTCATATGGGTTTTTGTTGTCAATCACATGAGATGGCAGTCAATTAATGATATATGTGGCAGTCAAGACACACTCACCCCACAAGCGTTTAGGAAGGTTTGCTTGAAACCTTAAGGCTCATGCCCTCAAGGAGATGTCGATGCTTCCACTCAACGACTCCGTTCTGTTGAGGCGTGTGTGGACAGGAGGTCTCAAGTTTGATCCCTTCTTCATTACAGAAGTTCAGCATGTCATTCGAGGTAAACTCACCGCCATTGTCGCACCTGATCTTCTTAACGTTTTTTTTTTCAAATTGATTCTTTATCATTTTGTGAAAATTCGTTAGGTGTTGGCTAGCTTCATGTTTAAACTTCAACAAAAAAACCCAAACAACTCTACTAAAATCGTTAACTATAGTAAAAATATAACCAGCTCCTGGTAAAGAAGGAGTACGGTATTTACCCCAAATGTCACAATGCAATAACTCAAAACAACCACTAGTTTTAATTTCACTATTTGAAAAAGGAAGCCTTGTGTGTTTGGCTTTAGAACAAGAATCACATTGGTTATTAAAAGAAAAACCACTAAGAGACTCGATTTTGGTAAGCTTTTCGTTTGAAGCATGACCTATCCTTTTGTGCCAAATGTCGCCCGTCGTCATCATTGCTTTTCTAGACTTTTCAAGGATTCCCATTCGGTACAGACCCCTCTTGCATTCACCCGCGCCAATCAAGCTCTTCGTGTACAACTTCTACATTACTCAAAAGTCAGGAAAAAAAGTTACAGCGCATTGAAGATCTTTACATATTCGACTTACTGACAGGAGATTGCAAGTAAATTTAGGTATGTGAAGGACACCATTGAGTTTAGTACCACCAGGTAAAGAACAACTTCCTTTTCCCTCAACTGGGATAACATCACCATTAGGGATAAGGACGGGATTTTCAAAATGAGTTTTGGTTATGATATCAAGAATGTCATCGCCGTGGGTAATGTGCTCGGTTGATCCCGAGTCCACAACTCAATCGTTGTCAACACCTTTTTTACCTGTCATGTAAGCTGTAGATTTGATCCCGTCCTTATCCGTACCTTCCCTCTCTTCAAAGTGATTCAGAAAAGTCCTGTATTGATCGGCGCTCAGGCCTGGAACGGGACTCAATTCCGCGTCGACACAAGCAAGTTTTGACTTCTATTACGTTCGCTTTTTGTTTCTCGGCCACCACTCAGGATATCCTATCCTTTTGAAACAACCCTCCTTGGAGTGATCGTCTTTTCCACAGAAAGTACAGTTTTGAACGATCTATCCTTTCTTCGCATCGGTGGGCCCTGTTTTGTTACGTTGCTGATTTGGAGTGCTTTCATGTCGGACTGGCATGGTGGTCTTGAAGTTCGCTACCTCCACTGAAGGTTTTTTGTCACTAGAAATAGCTCTTTGTCTCTCGTCCTCTGCAACAAGGTGGTAAGCGTTCCTCATATTAGGAATCAGACTGGTAACCAAAATCTGGGTCCAAATGACGGAGAATTCATTATCAAGACCCATGAGGAATTCGTACAATTTATCTGTGTCTCTCAGTTGGCTTAGGTGTTTGGTGACTTCACACTTGCATCTACTACAAGTACAGTGGGGTAAGGGCATCGCAACTTGCATCTCGTCCCATATGGCTCGAAGCTTAGTGTAGTATGTTGACACGGGCTCCCTATTCTGGTGAGTAGATGTCAGCGTTTGCTTGAGTTCGTGGGCGCGAGGAGCACTCTCCTTTCCGAATCATTCTTGAAGGTCCGCCCAAATTTATGAAGCGGTATTAGCGTATTTTACGCTTCCTCTAATGTCTCTTTCCATTTTCGTGGTGAGCCAGCCCTTCACCATAGCATCACAACGCATCCACAACATGTAGTCAGCATGTGTCTTTTCGGGTTTTTGATGGTGCCATCAACTAAGCCTACCTTATTTTTGGCAAAGATAAAATTCATCATCTCTTGCGACCAATCTGCATAATTGATGTCGGTGAGATTGTCGTTAACATGCATCTATTTCGGGTAATTAGATGCATGGATGTAGAACAGTGAGTTCGGATCCGATGCATCATTCTTCTTGTTTGAGGTCTCTGTGCCACCGGTCATGTCTATCGGCTATTGAGACATTAAGGGTTTGTATGTACCTGCTCTGATACCATGACAAAATCGATAATCAGATAAGGGTTTTTCAGGCTTCATTCATATCATAAAATAGAATACATGAGGGCTATATAAAAAGCAAAAGAGATAAACTAGAAAACAATAAACCATAAAGATAAAAGATATGCACGAAAGAAATAAAAGGAATGTAATCAATTCCCAATAAATGTATGTTGTTATTTATGATAAATTTAACGATAAGTAGGATTTATTATTTATTGTTGGTTTGATATTTGATTTGATGCTGGGGTTGAGATATATTACGTATTTATTAACAAAGTTTTATCTATAATAGTTTTATCTATAATATAAATTGAAATAACTAAGAATTAATAAAAATACATCATAAAGTACATACTATAAAACAAATTATTGTATCTACAAAGAAATTGTGGCAGGTGCATATCGATTTAAAAACACAAGTCTCTTCAAGAT